CAGGGCGCGGGTCTCGGAGCCTGTCCCAGGTGGAGCTTTCGTGTTGCGCTGCCGCCGAGGCCGGTGCGTCCACGCCCGGGGCGCCAGGTGTGCACAGCCGCGAGCCACAAGCTCGCGTTTTCATTTGTTTAAATGAATTGAACCGTCGCTCTGACACCATTCGTTGCCCTTCACCAAATTCGTTCTTAAAGGGCAAGACATCAAACCCCTCCTTTCTCAACCGGAGGTGACTCTTCCCCCGCCCCGCCCAGACCCTCCACTAGTACATGTCTTGTTGTCTAGGTAAGAGTTCTTTTCTGAGATGTATTTAATCCTTACAGTAACTGTGCAAGACGGTGGACCATGATGAGACCTTGGAGGCCTTAAGGATAAAGGTTTAGGCACAGTCAACATTTACAGGGTAGCTTTAGGCTCAGAGTGTGCACCTTGATTCTGCACAGGTGGAGGTTATCAATTTTCCATATTTCTGGGAAAATTTGAGTAAGTTCTTGTTAAAGGAAAAGCTATTCACATTGTGAATAATTTTCTTTGTTACCAGCGAGGGAAATAAAGATAGCCCTTTGTTTGCTTCTGCTTGGAGATTGCTGCCTCTCCTGGTAGCTCCCTAAACAGTGAATGGAGAGGTGAGTTTTGTAGAACTCTGCCCCAACTGGTTCATTAGTGTAGTAGAACAGTAATCCATAGATAATCATCTAAAAGCAATCAAGAAAAGAAAAAATCTGGAGTGAACCTTAAAAAAAAATCTTTTTGTGCTCAATTTTGTCTTCCTATTCTGTTCCTTTTATCATCCCCCAAAAGAAACAATGGCATGGAAATGTTGTCTGGTGCCATAAGAAGTAAAACAATGAACAAGGAGAGGAACACGAACTCAAATTCAGGCTCCCTGAGTCCAAATTTTAGTTCTGTCACCAGCTTTGTGATTTGATTTGACTTGCTTGATCTCATTGTCCTCTGTTTCTTTCTTTTCTTTCTTTTTTTTTTTTTTTTTTTAGCTTTAATTGAATTTATTGGTACATTTTAGGGATACAGTACAGCTACATTCATTGTTGGGATCTTGTACCTCTACATGACAAGTCTTGATTCTCATTTTTTCCCCTTACCCCTGTCCTCCCTTCACCCCCTCCTCCCCTCCCGATCTACAAACACTTTATTTTCATCTTTTCATTATCTCACATTTTTTTCTTTTCCCTTTTTACCCTTCCCCTACCCATCCCACCTTCCCTACACCTTTAGCTCCTTTCTTCCCATTTCTAAATGTCAGTAATCTTATTAGGATCTTCTGTATTATTGCAGATTATTCACATGAGGGAAACTATTCGGTATTTACACATGTGTGACTTATTTATTTCACTTAGGAGTATATCTTCAATATGTATCCATTTTCCTATGAATGAATCTATTTTCTCATTCTTTATGGCTGAGTAATATTCCATTTTATAGAAGTCCTCTGTTTCTTTTGCTTGATTCCATTATGCCTGATTCTTCATATAAAAAGCAGAGATAATAGTAACACTTAACTCAAAGAATTAGTAATTTTTATAAGGTGTACGGACATGCTAAAAGTACTATATAAGTATATAACAGTAATAGATTTAATGTTACGTGCAGATTCTTTTTCTCTTTGAAGTCAATGGCTACACAGACCCATCACCAAATCTTCCTTTTGATTTTTGTTCTTGAAGGATCCAATTGACTTAAAAAGAAGAAAGTAAATAATAGTGGGTATCTTCCAGTTCTTTCTTCTTGTTATTCAATTAGAAAATTACCTAATAAAACGGTATCAGGAAATTCAGTAAAATGGTGTCAGATTTACCGTTTTTAGATGCCACTTTTAATATACTATTTTCCAGCTTAGACATCTTCATTTTTTTCCTTACGGATCAATCCAGGCTTTAAAGCTTGACCACAAAGATTTTCTAGCCTAACCTGAAATTATTTTTTCAGTGTCATTTTTAAAATCCATTTGAAGTTTGGGTCAGATGCCTCCCTTCTATATCTGTTACTTCACTTACTGTTAAGGTATTGGGAGAAGGCAACTTCAAATCTCCTGTGCAGATTTGGTTAATGTCTCACCACTGTATCATACTGCTTATCTACTTACTGACAAATCTGGACAGTTTTGGGCTTCCTCTGCAGGGGTAGGCCACTAAAAAATGTTCCCCTCATGCCTGCCAACAAGTCCAAAAGAAGCAACAGTTTTCTTCTTTAAAATTCAACAATTAGGGTGGAGGATTTAGCTCAGAGTTTCCACTGCCTGCCTTGCAAGCACGAGGGCCCAAGTTTGATGCCTGATACCAGAAAAAAAAAAAAATCAACAATTAGACAACTCCTTGCCCTTGAAATGGTAGAGAGACAGGTTAGAATGGTGTTCTAGAGACTCTTTCCATAAGCAGTAAGAGGCCAGGTAAGTACAGACTCCCTATTAACTTATCCCAACAAAAATTTTATTAAAAACTTAACTATTCTTGGCAGATAGATTTCTTTATAGGCTTCGATGGCTTATTCCCACTTTTGTGTGACACCTGCACTATTACTGTACTTCTCTGTATGTTACAAAATTCACTTCTATCCCAAATGTCATGAAACATTCACCAATCTTCCTTAATTCTTCACTTACTCACATGGTTTTAATCACTGTCATATATTGTTATTTGTCTAAAGTTATAAGTACAGTTAGCCCTCCATGTCCATGAGGTCTGCATCCTCAGATTCAACTAACTTTGCATCGAAAATGTTTGAAAAAAATTTCATCTGTACTGAACATGTGTAGACTTTTTCCTTGTTGTTTTCTCTAAACAATGTATATAACAACTACTTACATATAACTTATATTGTATTAGATATTATAAGTAATCTGTAGATGATTTAATATATGGAATTATTGCATAGGTTACTTATATGCAAATACTATAGTATTTTATATCAGGATATTGAACATTCTTGGATTTTGTTACCTATGGAAGGTGGAATATCCTGGAACTAATCTCCTGTGGAAACTGATGGGAAGATGCTATGTATGTGTTTACTCTAACAGTTGTAAATTCTTTACAGAGATAGATCAGATCTTACATTGCCTTTTAACTTCCTCTAATTCTAGATGATAGTTGTATTATACAAATATATACCTTATTTATTAAAAGACAATTTTGAGATTCTTTGAGATTCTTCCTTCTCTATTTGACAATTACATTTTTATTTTCAGTATTTAGAAATGATGGAATTAGATATAGGAGATGCTACGCAAGTGTATATAGCATTCTTGGTTTACCTGGACCTCATGGAGAGTAAGTTGGTTGTTTATATTGTTTTGTTACTGGGGCTGTGGTGGGAGTTTGAGGAGTTGGGTTGGAATATAGTATTGTGAAAATACAAGAAGCAACCATTTATTGACTTGCTATTAATTTTTCCAGTTAATTTTATATTATTTATTTACATTGGGAATAACTAGGTAACAGAAAAGATTGGAAAAGTAAAAAAAAGGAGGTAGTACTATAAATAAAATTGTTTAGCTGAGTATTCGGTAGAAGTTGAAATTTTTATCTTTTATTTTTGATAAACATTATTGTCCATTCATTGACATTCTTTCAGGTAAAAGTTGGCATGAAGTAAATTGTGTAGGATTACCAGAACTCCAGCTCATCTGCCTTGTTGGTACTGAGATAGAAGGTGAAGGGGCTCAGACGGTGGTGCCTATATCCGTCTCTGCTTCCCTCAGCCATAACAGGTGAGTGGGTGATTTTGGTATTAATTTAATAGATCCTAAGGAAGTTGGAAATATTTATATTCTTGGTAAGGTAGCAAGACCTTTACATTGGAAACAACAGATACATGATGCAGCATGTGGTACGAATTATACTTCCTATAGGAGTTTTTGAGTGTAATTAACATGCAAATTGAAATCAAAGAATGCTTCATGCAGCTTGTGGGACATTTTAAAAAAAAATTTAGCTGTACAGTTTGTATTGAACAAATCTTTATTTCATGATACACTCCCATTAGTAGTTCAAGCTATTTATTTATTTTTAATGTACTAACTATCTCAAAGCCCACCACCACAAAAACTAGTTCTTAACAATAACTGACATTAAATCTTATGCATCTCTCCTTTATCTTCTTTCACAGACCTGAGGTAACTGTCACGCTGAATCTCATATTCAGTAGGAATTGCTTAATCTGACATTTTTTAACTTTATAAAAGGAATATAATCTTTTAGGTTGTATCTGTACCTTCAATATTGCTGTATATTGTTGAAATTAATCCCTGTGCATTTTGGGGCTGCTGTATAGTATTCCACTGAGTGATTGTACTATGGCTTTCACATTCACTGTTCTGATGATGGAGTGTTGCTGATATTCAACATCGGGAGATACAGTAATTTCCACCAGTGCTTCCAAACTGGTTGCCTCCATTTACTTTGTCCCAGAGTGTATATAAGATCTTTTGGTATTGTCAGGTGTTTTCATTTTTGCCAGTTGAATGGATTATCCCACTGTGGTTTTGCATTGTATTTCTTTGATTACTAATAATCTTGAGTGTTTAAATTTTAATTTATTCTCTTAAGTCTTCATTCATATGCTTTACCTGTTGGGATGTTTGTAGTTTCCTCATTGACTTTTTTGACTTTTTTATTCTTTTTTTCTATTAAATCATATGTATTTATTTATTTTTACTAATACATGTCTGCAGTACATTCCTTGTGTGTCACTAATACGTGTACATATCTTAATTCCCTTTTCATCTCCCTCCCCTTCCCTTCCTTCCCTGTTTCTCCACCTCTTCATGTTGTTCCTACTTAAGGACAATCTGTTTCTCTACTTCCTATTATCTGTCTTTTGTTATAATTTGGGCTTCTCATATAAGAGAAACCATATGATATTTAAGCTAGTGTGTCTGATTTATTTTGCTTAACATTATGGTCTCAAGGTGCATTCATTTTCCTACAAATGACTCAAGTTTATCTTTCTTTATGGCACAGTAGTACTCTATTTCATGTAAATATATTTTCTTTATCCATTTATCTCTCTTTTTTGCGGGGGGGGTACCGGGGATCGAACTCTGGTCCTTGCGCTTGTGAGGCAGGCAGCGGAACCATTGAGCCAAATCCCCGGTCCCTTATCCATTTATCTCTTGATGGGCATGTAAGGCACTTCTAAGATTTAGCTATTATGAATTATGCTGCTATAAACATAGGTATACATGTATCACTGTAATATAATATCTTTAATTCCATCAGGAAGATACCTTTAAGAGGAATAGCTGGATCACATGGAACTTCTAGTTTTCTTTTTTTGAGGAGTTTCCATACTGATTTCCATGGTTGTATTAGTTATAGTCTTAGATTTTATCTCTGCACTCTTGCCAATTTGTTATTATTTGATTTTTTTGGATGATGGCTATTCTTTCTGGGGTAAGATAGAATTTCAATGTTGTTTTAATTTGCATTTCTCTAATTGCCAGAGATATGGAGCGTTTTTCAAGTATTTATTGTCTGCTATGAAGTATCTATTCATTTCACTTGCTTGTTTTTATTTTATTGGGTCTTTTCTTTTGGTGGTGTAATTTTTTTTAGTTCTTTATAAACTATAAATAGTAGTCCTCTGTCTGAAGAATAGCTGGCAATTTTTTCTCCCTTCTGTAGGTGGTCTTTTCACTCTGCTGGTTGTTTCTTTTGCTGTGAGAAGCTTTTTAATTTGATATGATCCAATTTGTTCATTCTTGGTACTATTTCCTGTGCAACTGGCATTCTTTTCAGAAAGCCCTTGCCTATGGCTTTGACTTCAAGAGTTTACGTACTTTATCTTCCAGCAGATTGTTTGTATTTTAATATTGAGTTCTTTGATCCATTTTTGTTTCTGTTTAGATGATGATGAGAGTTATGGCTCTAGATTCAATCTTCTGCATGTGGATAACCAGTTTTCCCAACACCATTTATCAGTGAGGCTGTCTTTCCTGCAATGTATGTTTCTTTCTTTATTTTTGGACAGTAGTCTTTTGTTGACTATGTTTTCCAGTTTTAAAATCTATACTTCACTGTTTTAAAGGTATTTAGAATAGCTTATTAATTTGAATCTTACGGCTTTTATAATCAATATCTTTCTGTAAGGGCTAAAAAATTACTACCTATATTTTCACTAAGAGTTTTAAGATTTTATTTTTTAAATGGTGAAAGAGCAGGTTAGGACCCCACTTTTTATATGGATAACTACTTTTTTACCTCTATTTAGAATAGGTCTTGTTTTCCTCATTGTGTATCACTCTGGCATTTCCCAAAATTTCATATATGCATTTATTTGTTTCTGGGTTCTCTGTTACACTCCACTAAACAATTTGTCTATCCTGTGCCATTGCCACATCTTATTAATTGTTTCCTTTATAAGAAGTTCTGGTACCTGGTTAGCATATCTCCTTGCCTGCTCTTACTCTTTAGGTGACACGGCAGGCAGCCTTTGAGATGGCTTCTTTTAAGCCAGCATTCTGGTATTCATAACTTTGTGTAATTCTCTCCCTTAAATGTAGCCTGGACCCAGTGACTTGCTTCTAATGAATAAAAATTAGCAAAGAGGATGGGATGTGGCTTTGAATGTTAGGTTATAAAAGGCTTTGACTTTTGGGAATTCTCTTGCTTGCTCTGAGGAAAGCCAGCTACCATGTGAGTTCTTCAGAAAGGCTGAAAATAGAGAAGGTAATTTTTGATGGAGAAAAATCGTTGAGCTATAGGGAGGGTTAGATTCAAGAGTGAGGTTCAAGAGCATAGTATTAAACAGGAAGAGAGTACCTTAAGTGAATAGGATGTAGGAAGAAAGGTAACATGAAACATGGCTGTATTTTGGTAATATATAAGTGGGCTAGAGTCAGAGCACCTTAAATTCCAGCATGAATAACCTTGATAAATACTTGTTTTTTTTCTGTTTAACTATGACTGAACACATAGTGATTTACTAGAAGGGGCATTACATTGAGGTCCCTGCATTGGTGCTGATAATTAACAATATACCTCATGTCTCTGAGTTTCAGTGTCCTTATCTTTTATTGAGGAGTTTAGATTGTGAGTACATGATATATATATATCAGATTTCTTCTAAATCAAAGCAACTATACTCATTCGTTATTTTCATTGTGCTTCTTCCAAAAAGGTGTACTGAACAAATTTGCAGATTTTTATAAAATATTTTTACGAATGATTCATAATGAGAATAGTTCCTTGATATATCATGATGTTCATATGCTTCTTTGAGAGTCTTCTTACTGTGAGTTTTTTCTGTTGAGGATCACTGATAGTTGATAGCAGGTTTGATCTCTAGCACTTTCTGATTTTTACTGGCATGATTTCTAAGCCTTTCTACATATAAGAGACTCAATAATTCATTCCTTAAAACTTGTTCTTCTGATCTTTTAATTACTGTAATAAATATTATTCTAGCTAGTATTGCTATATTTGTTTGGATAAAAAGCAGCATTAATTTCAGATTAATTTGAAATTAATCTTAAAAATGAAATGAAAACAGTAGCTTCTTTTAATCAAAATGATTTCCCAAGTCTGTAAGTGTAAATCTGTATTCAGTATTAATTTCTGAAGTTTTCCAATTGGTAATTATTGCTTTTCTAGCTTTAATAAGTTAAGATTTTTTTTTCTGTAATTAGAATTAATTGGAATGATAATTTTGTAAGTAATTTATTTATTCTTACACTCAGTGACTCATAAGGCTTAAGTCTTGTGTCTTGTTTTATATAAATATTTATAATTATATTATGCAGAATAATATATAGAAAATAGCACAAATAAAGATTCATCCACACTGTATTATGCTTTTAGAGCTTAACATTTTATCAAATCAAAATATACAGATGACTTAGCAAATGGAGATTTATGTGCATGTAATTTCATTTCTCAATCGTTAATAGGAGCCATGTTTTTAAACAGTGGATGTATACTACCATTTTAGTTCAATGTACTTTGTAGTATAAAATATTATATATCTAACAGTAATGCTGCAATTTCAAACTTCTGTGGCTAACATAGGAATTTTCCTACATTGGTAACAGAGAAGAAAATTATTGACTTTGAGTCCCTGGTTACCTTGAATAAAGAAGAAATTCATTGAGACGTCTTAAAAGTATTTGGGTGGGAAGAGATGAGGGCAACCATGAATTTAAAAACGTGTGTGTGTGTGTGTGTATGTGTATGAAACTACACAGTTTTTACTTTTTCCGTAATAAAGCATCTACAAAAATAATTTTATTCTTTGCTCACTTTTTAATTTTATTATTTGTCACATAATACTCCTTGAACTTTTAAATCTCTACATAGTATTTATTGAGTGGCTCTTATATATTAGGTGATGATCTAAGTGCTGCCATGGTGACCAAGCCAATATGTTTGTCTATGGTATCTCTTAACTTTGTAGAAGCTTCTCAGCAGTTTATATGTATTTTTTGTTTGTCAAAAAGAAGGTACTTCACAGGGAACTTTTGAACAGGGCTACAGCTAGCACATAGAGTGTCTTGGAGCAAATTAGGAAAGGGTGTTCCCTCTGGGTATATGAAGGAAAAAGTCCCTTCACAGGTGTTCAGTCTTGACAAACTATGCAGGCCAAATTTCAGGCCCACTTGTGCCAGGCATCTTTGTGCAAGGCCTCTGTACAACTATGCTTGGTTCCCTTCTCCCGAAGCATGCCTAGAGAGTCCTAGATTTCCACAAACAGCTTTGGGAAAGCTACTGATAA